ATCAAAAACGTCTCCAAAAAAAACCCCCAAAAAACGCTGTAACTAGAATGCAAATAAAGTTATGACGCCATATATGTGTGTGTGTATATATATATATATAATTATACTGTGTATAATTATTATATATAACATACATAATCATATTATATATAATTTATATATATATATAATGTTTTTCATGAAGGAGAGACACCACTGATGGGGTCTCACCATACCATGATACCCACCCTCAGCCCTCCAACTAGCCAGGATCATGGACATACCTGCAAGCACACCCAGCATATTCAGGTTGACCCAAGATTCAAACCTAGGGCCCTCCCATGTAGCTGTACCACAGCAGTGCCACACCAGATATTTTATTTAAAATCATTTTTAAAATCATTGTAAAATATTTTTTCCCTTCTTGTTGCTTTTTATGTAGAGCCTGGATCTTTAAGTGAACTGAAGTAATATGATAAAAAGTAAGGTAAAATAATATATCTAAATAGTGCTGGGTTTCTCTTTTCCTAAAGCATTTCGCATGTGGGATTGGATGGTTGGGGAATCTCAAAGTTGAGCTTATATTAATTTTGCTGACTCTGAGTGTCATGTTTTAGACATTTTCTTTCACTCTTTCTCTCTTTCTCTCTCTCAGTCTCTCTCTCTCTCTTTTTCTTTCTTTTTTTTTCCTTTTCTTTTTTTTTGCAAGAGTGCATGTGAAAGAGAGTGAGAAGAACACCCCTTATTGGGATTTTGAGCCTGTACGTACATGTCCCCATGTTGTTCAAGCAGCAGGTGTTGGCTTGGAAACACAATTGACCATGTGGGATCCAGCTCGAATGCACTGTGCTTAACCACTGCAGAAGGGCTGGCTCTAGGTATTTTCTTTCCCATATTTTCTGCAGGTTTTATATCTTGTGCCTCCATTGCAGTGCTGTGATGTAAGAATGGTCACTGAATTCTCAATATCGAATTGTAACTTAGGGGGCCAAAAGATAGTGTGGTGGTTAAGGTACTGGACTCCCACATGGCTAACTGCGTTTTGAGCACCAGACCTGGTGGCTTGAAAATCACGCTGCGCACGTGTGCATGCATGCCCAAAATCCTGAGAGGAGAATGGAGGTGAAAAGATTGAAACATGGCCATCCCCCCAGGGTGTGATTTCTCATTTTCTTTCTATTTATCTCTATCTCTCCAGGAGCGCACACACCCTATGACAAAAACCAAAGAGGAAGAAAGAGAGAAAGAAAGAAGCATAACTTAGAAATAACTAAATATGATGCTGCTATTCTAGACATGGAGCAAAATTAAAACTGTTCTCTTTGCCTCTCCCCTTAGAAACATATATTAAAAATAGGCAAAAGAGGGGCCAGCAGGTGGTCTGGTGGTTGAAGGCACTGCACTCCCACATGGCTGACCAAGGTTCGAGTCCCAGACCTGGCAGCTTGCTTTCTCACTTTCTCTCTCCCTCTCTCACTCACTTTGTCCGTCTCTGTCAAATTAAAATAAATAAATAAATAAATTTAAATAAAGTAATTCTTTAAAAAAATAGACAAAAGAAAGTGCATGAGACTACAGTTCAATAATATTTGGCTCTCAAATAAATTCTTTTAAATAGAAGGATTGACATTAATCGAAATTTGAATGTGTCGTGGGATCTAGTTTCTGTAGAGGTCATGTCACTTCTCTTGGTTCCCAGGCACCATGGCCAAGCTTAGATAGTTTAGTATTGGTGCTGATTCTGAAGTCTGCATCCCAGGGAAGTGGACGTTGATTATTAAGTGTAATTTAAGTCTCTGGAACATTAACCTCTTCACCCTCATTCTGCTGAAACACAACTTTCTCTTTTTTGAGCTTCTATATATGGTGTCTGTGCTATTTGCTTGTTTATTGATTTATTTAAGTAAAGTGTAGTTTGTGTTTTCTTTTTTTTTGGGGGGGGAGTATGGTTAAGTTATGGGGAAAGATTAAGAAGCATTAAGCTAAACATATTTAGGCCATTCATCTGATTTGTTCCATTAACTGAAATAATGTTCAATCCAAAAAGCTACTAGATGGCGTCAGCAGGTGGCATGGTAGTTAGACTCCCACATGGTCCACTGCAGTTTGAGTCTTGGACCCAGTAGCTTGAAACTCATGTTGGGTACATTTGTGTGCATGCCCCAAATCCTAAGAGAATAGAGGAGAAGGGCTGGATATATATGTATGTCTTTGTCATACCTAACAAAAGACTTTCATCCTTAATATATAAAGAATTTTTATGAAACAATAGTGAAAAATACAGGCTAAGAGACCCAGCTGTGGTAGTACAGTGGTAGGGC